TGCATTTCCTTCCGGCTGCATGCAAAATCAACACTGTAAAAAATAGATACTTATTAGCATGAAGTTCTCTCATCGATATTCGATGCCCCTTAAAGTCCAATTATATTTCATGGAAAGCATGCATAAAAATATTCATTGTTTTGCTCATTTGTTAGAAAATTACGTCTTCCCGATCACAACCGACAGGACAACGGGCCCGTGGCTCAATGGTAGAGCGTCAAACTCCATGACCAAAGATCCCGGGTTCGAATCTCAAGCGCTCCACACTTGGGGTTGGGTTTGACTGGCTGATGACGGCTAATAAGCCAGAAATGGCCATTCCGGTCTCCCTTGTCTTTGTCGGCTCCATCTCATCTATGTCTACTATGAGTCGCTGTGCGACTGCCTGCGAGGGCTTAAGTATGAACCCCAAGGCACATCGGAACGAGCATGTTCCGTCACCTGATCGGCGTGCGCCCACTGTCATAATATATATATATATAGGCAGAAATGGTATTACCAACAAAGACAAGGGAGACTGGAATGGCCATTTCTGGCTTATTAGCCGTCGTCAGCCAGCCATACCCAAGCCCGAAGTGTGGAACACCCGAGCCTCGAACTCGCGACCTGTTGGTTTAGAAGTCAACGCCTCTACTCACCGGGCCACGGTAATACCATTTCTGCGTATATATCATGCGCCGCTGTGCGGCTGCTGGTTGGGCTCGAGAGAGAGCCCTTAAGGCACAACGGAACGAGTGAGTTCCGTATGAACGATCGGTGAGCGCCCCCTAACATCATATATATATATATATATATGAGAAGAAGAGGCGATCTCGGGAACCATGATTGTATTGTCCTGACGTTTCAAAAGCAGACAAGCGTTCATCGTCATGCTAACACGGTGGTAATTATAGGGGGGAGGAGGTGGTTAATCGGCTTTGGCGCTAATGGCCCGCATACGCACAGGGATCGTCTCTGTTGTCGCCGGGGCAGAGCGGGAGGGAGGGTGACTGCTGTCAATCTGCCTGTCACTCGTCGGAGGGCGGCATTTGAACGTTGGTGGCCATCGCCCGCATTCGCGTTGACCTTAATTGTCGTGCTGGGTTGCTAGTCTTAATTGCATCCCTCTGACCGCGTTTCTCCCCGTCTGCCGGAGTAGTAGTTGAGGCAACAGTATTGATGACTGCGCCCTCGTCGGGTCCGATTTGCGGTGTGGCTACGTTTAGGTCCGTCGTAGGCTCTCCCGTGTTTGAATTCACGTCCGGCCTGACTTCGCGCTTGCTCTTTAGTTCGTTGAGCTGCGTCCGGAGGGCTTGGTAGGCTGTCGGAAGGGCGACACAACGGTTTATTGAGGTTGTCTCCGTGTGCCAGGCCTCGATCGTTTCCCTGGCTACGCGGTCATTGCCTCGACCCAGAATTTTGGCGTTCTGGAAGGCAAAAGTGTGTCCAGAGTCCGCGCAGTGTTCCGCCACCAGAGACAATGGGTCCATTCTCCTCACTGCCCGCATAGATAGATAGATAGATAATTTTTATTAAAGACCTGTCGGGGTCCCATCAAAGCAAGTTAAAATAAATTTGCTTGCGAGTTTTAGACGAGGTAGGCTGAATCTTTACAAAATGCAATTCATAGTTTCTGAATTAGAAGTCCATTGAGAAACATGAAGATTGAGGGGTGAAAAAAAAACTCCTCGGAAAAAGATAAAAATGATTGGATTAATTTTACAGGAGAAAAAACCCCTCTTTAAAAATAATAACAGAAAAAAAGCGAGC